CAAACGCGGGTTGTTATAATGCTGCTGCATGTAGGTGCCGTGATCCCACAGGGCCCCACTGCTCCATTATGATTGCTGGGATAAGCACTGCAGCCATCATCCTGCAATAGTGTGTTTTGTCACATGGTGCCTCAGTAATGGACTCAATAGCTTACTCTGTCAGTCATCCAGGGACAACAGTGGTCAGTGTGTTTTTCTGTGTAGCTCTGGGGCATTGTTTCACATCTTTTCTGCTGTATCAATTTGATTTTATTGTTTGGATTTGAAATAACAGCCGTTATACTCTCTTTTACTACAGATGTTTTTAAAATGAGGTTACTGTGGGATTTTTGGGGGGGTCTTTCTACAGAAATATAGAAGCACAACTACAGACATGACCATCTGTTAGTCCATATGCAGATTACTGTGAAGGCCTGATTGTGCTGACTTGGGGAGGGTAGCATCAGCAGCTGTCTGGAGTCATTGCATATCACCACTGAGTGGAACAGGCCAGACCTACAGCCCTACATTATAGAGAGCTGCTTTCACAAACAGCAGCTCAATACTGAGAACAGTAAAGGGTTGGCAAAAATTGAGGAAAATGTTGCAAATTTCTGATATGAGGGAGATTTGCGTTTAAGTGTTTGTTTACGTCTCATTAAGATCAGGTACTTTAAACAGGCATGAATGGATTCATTGCGGAGATTAAAAGTAAAATCTAGTCAAAAGGAGAAGTTTGAAAATCATATTGTTTCAAATATACTTCACCTTTAACATCTTTCTTATTTGGATTTCTACAAATATCAGTAGATCTGGCAGTAATGAGGATGTGAGTATGTCCAATATGGTTCACTGGCCAGAGCGGCACAGACTGGATGGGATGCACTAGGCCTTACCAAATAAAGTTATTCTTTCTTTTTAACAGCACCATGTTTCCTAATGCGCTTTTACGTGTCCAGTCAATGAGAAGTGGGAATCCCACTGTTAGAGTATACAGTGAAAAACGAGCGGTGGCTAATGACACCCAAGTTTGTATCTGATTTCAAGCTTTAAACATTTTCTCTAACCGAGGAATAAGTTTGAATCCTAAGTAGCTATATGCTACAACTTACTATATAGTAAATATAATATATCTTACATCTATATTATATTTACTATTTACTGTTCTTTCTTTTGGCTTTCTGGAGGGCCTGCGTTTATTTTCAGAGGTTGAGTTATAGAGCAACCAAAAACCTAATACAATAAAAAAGGGTGTCATTTCAATTTTCATATCTGCGAGTTTGCAATGTCTTTTTTCGTTTTTGTTTTGTTTTTTTGTTTTTTTTCCGCTGGTATAACTCTTATTTTCAGCTTTTAGAAGTTCTTATATGGTACACTTCATGTAATCCCAAAATATGCTTCGATTTTTTTTTTTAAGTTGGTGAACCTCAATTAACACATTTTTCCTTTGGTTCCTTAATTCAATTATTGCATCAATGGAGGGATATAAAAGTGTTCCTTTAAACATTTCTCTGATAAAGTGAAATAGCACATTTTGAAAACAAAATGGCATCATGTGGAAAGTGTCACCTAAACTAGCAAGATCCAAGCAACCTGTTTTAATAGGAGCAATATTTACCCATGAAAAGGTCTTTAATTTGCTTCAAAATCTGTAGAAACCCATGAAACACTTACTGGAGCCTGTACTTTATATAGATATACATAAATGTTTGTCCGATGCACTTTTCTTGTAAATGAAAAAAGGGGGGGCTGGTTTTCTCACCTCTTTGTCCTTCTATAACCTTGGCAGTTATGGTCACTTCTAAAATTGACTTATGATTTAGTGAATAACAGGGGTGCTGTGCATCTTGAAATATTAATATCTGCCTGCAGAAGGTTGCTAGGAGGTTATTTGGGTTGATCAGGCATCATATTTCATAAGAGCAGCCTTTCCCCAAACAGGGATCTGAGCCAAATTCACCTGGAATAGCTTTTTATACATAATTCAATTCAACAATACTTATTAATCCCATGGGGAAATTAAATAACACTGTTGGGGGGAGCATAACAGTTGTTTGAAAAATGGGATTTAAGCACTGTATAATTATTTATCATCATAATTTATTAAAATCCTTGGCAACAAAGAAAATATATTAATACAGAGTGGTTTAGGGTCAGGGGTGAACAATGGTTTATAATGTGTACACCATGCAAGGAGAAAAGGGACAGAGTGTGGGTATGAATAGTCAGAGGGGCGAATGGTCCAAATAAATGCACATCTGAATTATTTGAATGACATCCTCTCTTGTCTGTGTCCTTTTGAAGAGTCCCAGAGAGAGATTTTCCTCTTTTTGATGACATATTTGTTGTTTTCTACTATTTGCTGAAACCAATAGTGGAATACTATCATGTTTTACAATCAACAATATAACAGAGACTCAGATAAAGTATAGGTAAAACGATAATGCATCAGTTAGATGTCTTTTTAGTGAGGTGGGGTTTGACGGCCAACTGGCAATATTTTTGTGAAAAGAATATAATGAAGTAGATTTTTCCTAGATTTTCTGAGTAAGTGTCTTCAAATAAAAGCATTTTTACAAGGCTTTTTGCTGATCTTAACATGTGAAAGTCATTGTGTGTCTTTAAGAGAAGGGCAAGAGCCCAAGAATGAATAAGGTGGAGAAAACAGATATATAGCTGGTGTTGACTTCATCACTCCAAGGCAATTAACATCCAATAAAACACAGCATCCCAGTCAGTTCAGAAAAGAGCAAACCAGTTAAGACATTCCCTAAACCAACTTCCAACTTTCCATGCCTGCGTCCCTTTCTGTGGTCACCCTGCAGCCTCAACTGTGGGAGCACAAACACCAGGTGGCACAATGGAGCCAAACTGTGAGCTTAATTGCTTTTTGAAAGTTTAAATGTTGTTTTTTAGCAGTAGTTGAAGTATTTTACTTCCTAAAGTTAAAAAATATGCATTTTCCTTCATCATTTCAAATGATTAATATTTATGCTTCCTCTGAAATTATCTTAATGACTAAACTAGAAGAATTGTAATGGAGTCCAGAAATTAGCTTCAAAACATCTGCATGTTATCCCTGACATTAAAACTTTAAAGGCAGTATTTAACAAAGGTTACCAGCAGGGGTATGACTTACAATGAGGACTGCTGATTAATTTGGTATTTAGTTAGTTTGAACAAAAGCAGCATTGAAAAAGGTTCATCACAGTGTGAGATAGTGATTACATTAGAAGTTCCAGTCAAGACAATTAGATGGTGATCAGCCTCCCGACTGAATAATAACCTGACGCTGTGATATTTTTTTTCAAGCTTGGACCTAACAAATATATTAATTTTCAAAACATTGATTTAGATGGAAGCAAATGTTTAAATGCAGTAAATAAACTAACACTTAGCTTTCTTTATTCTACCTGGATTAATGTACAATTTAGGTGGTAAGAAGAGTCACATATTTAGATGTAAGGTAACACCTTTAACAAACTACATCCTTATGTGGCATCATGAAATAATCAAAATGCATAGATAAGGAATCTAATTCAAAGACCTTTTTTACTGAGACCTCATGGAACTAAAAAAGAACATTCGGAGACAAAAAGGGGAAAGACTGCAAGGCTGAGGATGACTGTAGTCAAGGAGGGTTACATAGCCTGGTGGAGGTGTTTTGTTTCAAGAGTGACTGATGTATTGTAGGAAAATAATAATTAAAATAAGAAAATAATTAAACTTTATTGATCTCACATTGGAGAAATTTAACTCAGCATTTAACCCATCCCCTGGGGGAGCAGTGGGCTGCCATCATGGGGCACTGGGGAGCAATCGGGAGTTAAGGGTCTTGCACAAAGACCCAGAGTGGGAGTCTGTGGGAGTGGGTTTCAAACTCACAACCTTAGGATTGCAAGCTCTATGCCCTAACCACTAGGCCATCACTCCCCACTATAAATAGCATCACGAGAAACAATAATTATGTAGAAAAGGTTGGAGAGTCTTGATGTCAAGGATTTGCTGGACTGACACTATGGGGCCAAATGAATGCAAACAACAAAGTCCCTAAAGCTTAAGAAAACAAAGGAAATATTTATATTCAATGATTATTTTAAGAAAGACAAAACTTAGTTCACACTACTGTGATATTTAACGTGGATCATTCTGGAGACACAGACATGAAAACTTTCGTCAGATTTAATAACTACACAAACTAAACTTGTCTTTTTATACAATGTAAGTAAATGTCTAAATTCACTTAAATCATTGCTGGTCACACCTGTGCATCTAGTCATAAATTTCTTTTAAATCAAGTTTGAACTTTTTAAAAAGGAAAATCATTACATCATCATCATTACATGCATTATAATAACTGTTCTTTACAGACTGTGTGATTCCACAGAAACTCTCCAATGAATACATCTCTAGATTCATCATCCAGTAGTTTAAAAAAGTAAAGCTTTTTAGATAGTTGTTTGATTGTTTAAAACAAATAGATAAACGAGAACATTGAAATTGATGAAAACGTTTTTTGTTTCCCTAAAATTAACCCAGATATGGTTTCTGCTCTTGGTTGTCATGCCTACTAAAGATTTAATTGAACAAAATCTGCATCAAGGTGATAAAAGAAAGAAATTTAGCTAAATTACAAAAACTATAAATCAGTCGCATAATATTCACACAACACACAGTGTTATACAGTGTATACTGTTATATAGTTATAGTTATAAATCAGATTGGTAGACATTGTTAGTAAATTTATGGTTAAGCTCATATGAAAAACAGAAGGTTTGTTTTGTGAGGCATACAGGACAGGCTGTCACAGTCATTAGACGGCGGTCTTTCCAGCCCAGTCCTAATTTTCGGTCCTCACACCTTCCAGTGGGTGAGGACTGCCCCTTCCTGCATCCTCAGTCCCACTGAGCCATGCTGACGGTTCCTTTGGGATCCCAAACGCTAGTGTGCATACTTCATTACACGTGTGCCTCTTTTCAGCCTCACACAGTGAGCTAATGTGCATCTCTTCATATTCACAGGCCAACCCTCCCCCCATCATTGTCAACGCAGACTCACTAGACGCAGGCCCTTATGTAAGTATCTCCTCTCGCTGCCTGCCGTACAGTAAGGATGAGTCTTATTCTCACTTTCTATGCTACGTGAACACGTTTGTATGTTTGCATGTGGATGAAAAGCCCCTCCCCCCCGGGGACAAATGCCTTCTGTTGAGAAGGCATTCTGCACCATCACATATGTCATGTTGTCTGTTTGATATACTATGTGGAGAATGCATTCACTCTGTGATGTAAATAAAACATGTTGATTCTCTATGGTTGCAGATATATGTCAAATTGTGTTATTCATTTCTCATTCCTTTTTATTTTTATGAAGAAATCTAAATATTCATGATTTATAATGTAATTTTTTTTTGACAGGTAAATGGAAGTGATGGGATGTATAAATATGAGGAAATCATCTTAGAGAGGGTAAGTTATATGTATTTATTTATTTTAATTCATTTACTGCATAAAGGATTTCTCCCCACTAGGTGGTAGCAAGCAGCTCTTTCTTTGCCAAATGAGTTTAAAGAACCAGAATAAAACAGCTAAATCTTTATGTGTAAAATGCATTAGTTAAGGTCCTGCTTATGCATTAGTGTAGTATATGACCCTTAGGTGTTATGTCTCAGGTGGGTAAGAGGCGATGCAAATCTTTTTATGTAATCAAGAGCTTCGTGTCATCAGCAGACAGCAGAAATGTAAAGTGCTCTCCTGCCTCTTAGCAGGAGAGGTTCCACTTGAAGTGGGGAAAATATACATTTTTGCTTTCTTCAACCTCCATGTTGATCGATCTCTTCAGTCTAGAAATATACACACTGTATCTCTGCCCTGTTTACTTTATAGTGACATATCTGCATATAGTGGAAACCTTAAAGGGTCTGTGAGTGTGCAACATTTGGTGGCTCGGTACCACTGCTCTGAAGCTACACACTGTGAAGCCTCAGCCCTCCTCTGTCCTAATTTGTTTCGACTGTTTCTCATTAATTATAGAAAAATAATAAAGCGAAGTATTTTCTCAGCCGTCTCGTTTGCTGCCTATCTTGTTGGCCACGGCTGTCAGATGCAGCACCGTACCTCGGCCCACTGGATCCAAATGGGGCCTGTGTAATCATAGGGACAGGAATGGCAGGAGGTGGCAGTGTCTGTCTACTTTAGAGACTCAGAGGCACTTTGTCATGCAACAGAAATGGTGCTTCTTTGTGGAAACTGGGCTGTATGTATTATCTGTGTGCTGTACTAGATTAAAAAGCCCTTTTCTGTAGGAAAACACAGAAGGCTAAATGCTGATCATGACAGACATGCTCACCAACAGCATAGACACAATGTCTACAAATTCATAACTTCTTTCTATTAAAGATGCAAACTTCCAGGTATTCTATTGTGGTTTTATGTGATTAAAAAAAAAAAAAAAAACTTTACAAAATTAAGAAACGGCATGTTTGTATCACATGTATTTGCATTCTGCCTTCTTTAATCTAAACCCAAGGTTAAATCCAGGGAAACCAATTACCCTCAGAGGTCACCTAATTCGTAGTTAGCCCCCAGCTATGTGTAATTTAGTCTCAGAATAAATGCTGTTCTATGAAGGCCTGAGAGGTTTGTTAGCGAATGCTAGTGAACAAACAGCATTGTGAACCAAGGAACACAGCAAACAGATCAAGGAGAAATCAATGGAGGAGTTTAAAGCAGGGTAGGTTATAGAACAGCATCTGAGCTACAGCACAGCTGCAAACCCAACAGGACATGATCATCTGAGTTAGTGGCAGAGCACAAGCTTATGGCCTGTGGAGGAGCTGCAAAAAAATCCAACACCTAAGTTGGAAAATCTGCGTACCTGGTCTTACTTTATAAAAAGAGCCTTCTGAAATCCATCAGCCAATGAGAAAACATGGAATCCATTTGACTTGTCTCCTATTATGGAGGAGGTAGAGGTCACATTTCATTGTGATGATCAAAGCTTCACCGACAAATTAATGTGGTTACATTATTTAATCATGACGTTAGAATGTTTTTGATGGGAAGATGATCCAAGATAAACTCAGGACTGTAAGATGCGGCGGTAATAAAAACAGATGAAAATTCACCTTCCTGCAGATCAAAGGTTCTTAACATTCAGAGCTAGAATGGAATGTTGTGGAACTAAGGATATTTATCTATTAGAATGGTCAGACTTAAAGTCAATAAAGCACAAAAGTTCAAAAATGTTAGCATCCAATTGGACTGAGTTTAATATTTTTTGCAAAGCAGAAAAGGAAGAAAAATTTGTTTATTCGCTATTTTTTTAATCTACTATGCTGCAACAGACATACCCCAAAAGACTGGGCATTGTACTTGGATGCATATTTTCCTTCCACTACAGCGTTTTTTTCACTTCTTTGTATTTCCAATGAAATATTTGAACTTGTAGGTGCAATGTACCAAACTGAAATGGAAGTGGTATGAATTTTTATAGGCCTTGTAAGAGCTCCCATTTGACCCATTATACATGTGATTTATTGTTTTTTTTTTTGTGTGTGTGTGTGTGTCAATCCCATCCTGTTTTAGGGGAACTCTGGCCTTGGCTTTAGCATCGCTGGAGGAATAGACAATCCCCACATTCCTGATGATCCAGGGATTTTCATCACCAAGATAATCCCTGGAGGAGCAGCTGCTATGGATGGAAGGCTGGGGTAGGTTTACTTCTTTAACGCATTCCTCTCTCCCTCATTCATTCTTTTTTGCTCTTTTCAAGCTCAGCTGTGCTCTCCATCCTCCTCCTGCTCTAACCTTTCTGCTCACATCTTTAGCGCTTACCAACACCGTGTCCCGCCAGGCAAGCGCTGTGTGGGTGGCAGAGTTTCTTCAGCTCTCTGCCTCCCAGCTTTGTGTGCTTCCTTAAACTGCAAAAACCAGAAGTCTGAGAGATGTAAAAAATTATGATATGGAGTGCTCTAGAAGTCTCTGATTGTATTAGCCCAGCTCCAGTTTTCCTGCCTTTGTACACCAAACATAGCGAAGGGCTGTTTGTGATGTATATTTGAACTTTTCTCAGGGTTAACGACTGTGTGCTGCGTGTGAATGACGTGGACGTCTCTGAGGTGGTTCACAGCCGAGCGGTGGAAGCCCTGAAGGAGGCGGGGCCTGTGGTGCGGCTGCTGGTCCGACGGAGGCAGGCACCCCCAGAGACAATCCTGGAGGTTAATTTGCTGAAAGGACCCAAAGGTAAAAAAAAAAAAAAAGCCAAGCAAGCAATCTCTTCTGACAGAAATGCAAGCTCATTCACTTCAGAGGTTGCTAATCTATACATGCAATGTCTATCTTGTTTTGGGTTTGCCAACAAGGACTGGGATTCAGTATCGCTGGAGGAATTGGGAACCAGCATATTCCTGGAGACAACAGCATTTATATCACCAAGATCATAGAAGGAGGAGCTGCCCAGAAAGATGGACGACTGCAGACTGGAGACCGACTGCTAGCTGTATGAGTCTTCACTTCATTTCAAGATAAAGTCCTTTATCTGCTTTCCAAACTAATACGCTTACTGAATCCCCAACAAAGTCTCGTTATTTCCTAAATGTACAATATTGTAAAGCTTAAGACAATTAGCTCAGTTAGGTAAATATTTGCCTCCTTACAGAGTTTCTCTGTTTTTACTTGTATTTTGCCTAAATAAATACAGCCATGACGTGTTCAGATGAAGATTTCATTTATTAGGAGGAAAGGCTAACTCAGTCAGTCTGGACCTCTGTGGAAGCATAATTGCTCCATAACCTCATAACTGGTTTTCATTATCCTTAGTAGGAACAATCACCTGCAGACATTTGCAATAACTTGCATGAGTCATTTACATCACTATTAATGATGTAAAAAAAAACATGCATGTGTGGGATTTGAACCCAAACATACAAGGTCCGCAAGGAAGCAAAGCTAAAACTGCACCACCAGGCTGTCTTTAACTTTAAAATCTGTTCTTTCATTTCTTTAGATCAAGGCTGAGTTGCTACTTTAAACATTTTAGAGCGTCTCATGAAGCCACCTAGGTCTTTTGTTTGTGTGTGTGTGTGTGTGTGGCTTTTTTAATCTCTATGTCTAATGATTGTCAGGCCTGAGTATCATTAGTTAGAAGAAGCAAAGGAAACATGTTTGATTGCAGATAACTTGATGATTTAACAAGGAGGCCATTTTATTTTGACATAAGACCACGCATTGGCCTTTAAATTAAATGGTATCTTTTTGGATTAAAAATAATAGAAAATTTGTTTAAAGAAAAAAATATTTGAAAGCAAAAGATATTTGATACTTATGAGGTTTTACAGTTGACTGTTATCAAAGTATTTATTACAAACATGCTTCAACAAGCTTAAATCCAAGTTTAACTCAAGGTTGTATTCTATTTCTCAGTTTTATTAAGCCTCTTAAATAACAGGACTTTATCAAATAATACTCAATTTTGTTCATATAAAGGTAAATAAATTATCTTATTTTAAGACCTGCGGTTAAACAACCAATGGCTCATTTTATTTTAAGTCCAGTGACTTTAAGCTGCATCATTTAGTGACTTTTTTGAACTGCAAGATGACTTATTGAAATGCTAAATGGCTCCAGACAAACATTAGCAAGTCTTACTAATTCTTCTAATTAGTAAGTTCTAATTTAGTTTTTACTAAAAATTACAGTAACTTAGTTTTTATGAAGTAAAAAAAGACATCATGGTTTAGGAATTTCTCAAACTTTTATCATGTTTACTGGAATTTTCGGAAGCTAAATTGCATGATTTGTACATATACAAGCCGCACCGGACTATAAGCCGCAGATTTTTTATGTTTAATGTCCGTCTTTCTCGCTGTTTTTCTGTCTCGTACCATTTGCGGTAGAAGTCTGCTTCCGTAGGGCCTTCGGCTTTCTTCGGGGTTCACTTCTTTTCTTTTTTTGTTGAGGCAATTTTGTTTTCACCTTGTTGGTTTTTAAATTCCTTGGTTTTGGTTTTCGTCTTGTGGTCGTTGGCTTTAGCTGTCCATGTCTATGGCTCATTGTTATTTTTGTCGCGCGGTGTCGAAATGTGGGGGAAGTCTCAGGTTTTGTTGTTCAAATTTTATTATATTTTCTTTACCACAGAGAGGAGAAATACATCATATGATCTTGTAGTTAACATGACTATAACTGCTGTGGGGGTCGGTCATCAATCATGCTCTGGCTCATCCCATAGACAAAAACCCCAAACAGATGCATTTGGTGTAACTTATCAAAGGGTAACATGTTGAACATCTGATGCAGCTTCAGGAGCATGGTGAATTTTTATTCCACAAGTAGAGTTTTATCTCCTCCAAGACCAGAATCTTTCTCGGACTTATCCAGGAGGATGCAGTTTTCTATTTTTACAGCTGCACCGTTTCTACTGTTTCTGCATACCTAGCATCCATAAACATGTTGCTTCAGCAATAACAAAACTATCATGTAAGTGATTACTCAAGAACTTCAATCTGATTTGTAATATTTTAGTATTGCAGCTTTTTTACTTTAGTCAGTGTCAGATTTTTTTTTACTGATGAACTCTAATCTCATAATACCTTCCAGCTATGAATCATTACTGTGTTGGTTGGTGTGATGGCTTTGTGATGTTGTCACAGCTCTCATTTTTTTCTTCTTTGATGCCCGACACATTCAGGTGAACAACATCGTGCTGCAGGATGTGCGTCATGAGGAGGCGGTAGCTGCGCTGAAAAACACCTCTGATATGGTTTACCTTAAGGTGGCCAAGCCAGGACCTGTGCATCTGAACGACATGTATGCCCCCCCAGACTACTCTAGCAGTACGTATCTACCTCGTCGTGTTATTTTAGATCTCCTGATATCTGAGACAAGGAGATGTTATTTGTTAGTTTTGGGTTTTTTCCTCTTCATCTGCAAAGTTTTCTGTTATGAGTTCTGTTCTCTGCTCAAGCTGCATTGCCCAGACTCCCACATACTAAATGTAGTAGAAGCCTGCACACACACACACACACACACACACACACACACGATTTCTCCCACAGCAATGTTGAGCACAGTTCTCTTCCACCCACAGAGTGTGGATGGTTTCTCACATCCCACCTGCTCATGAGAGCCCACGATCTTGAGCTGCAGCTTCTCAAATTTCACCACAGCCATGATTTATTGTTATAGGAGGCCAGTGTGGGACTCCCATTGATTGTTGTTTGTCTTAATCTGTTTCCGTCTAGTCCTCAGTATAAAACATCTGTGGTTCTCCTTTGCATCTTTTAATTAGATGAACAAACCACTGGTTTGGACCAGCAGCCAAATCTGCATCCCAATACTAGCTTGTTTGTATTTGATTGGTCACTAATGATTAGTGAATCCTGTCACAAAAACACAAGCTAAATGAATTTGTAAATAAATCTTAATTGCAACTACTGGTACAAGGTTTTGCTATATGAGAGCAGCTGCTATGATGCATAAGTTTCACATGTTTACTTATAGTTGCCTATTCTAAAAAGTATCTAACAGTTTATACCATAAATTTTTTTTTATTCACTTCTCAACATCAGTCTTTTTGACTCGTCATTTTCTTTACTAAACAAGGATCTTTAGATAAATTAAGACAGACTGTTTTCTTATAACCTACAGTTGAAACCAAATATTTTCATCTTAATATATAAAAAGTGTTCTATGATGAAATCTGTTGCAATGTTTTCCTGTTTTCCACTTTCCTCTCTTTTTCATCTGTGCCTCCATCAGTCTGACCCTAAGCATTTGTGTTTGATATGAACACCTGCTGCCATGAGTCTATCCAAGTGGTTAGATATTACATTAACATATAAAAGGCAAGTTCACAATAGTGATGTATAATATGGAATATCGTAGCCAACAATCGCTGCACTCAAAAGAGTACTTTGTGTTGTGAATGTTGCGCAAACTCATATTGCGAAATGTTTGTGACATAATGCACAGCTTTAAAAGTATAAATCATTTAGTATAATAATAATTAGTCCATCCTGTGGGACATTAAACCAGACTGAAGATTTTTGGTTTCGAGCACTTTGGATTATAACTAATTGATTAGTTTTACCATTACTTTAGGATTCTATTCAAGCTGCTTCAAAAAGAGAAGTTTTTTAAGTTTGATTTGGAGAATGTTGTATTCCTCTAATTTGAAAGGTTTATATGTAATAAACTTTTCAATTTAACACTTTTGAAAATGGCAGATAGTGATCTTATGGCTCTGTAAGGTTCTAATAGGTCAGTTCACACTATTTGAGTTTAAGGAGGCACACTATGCATTTAAACAGCAATATCATTCTATCCCTGTTTGACATACCGGGAAAAACCAAATAAGATTTGATTAAGCAAAGATGTCAGTATGACAGTTATGTACTTTTTCAAATGCAAATATTAGCAGCAGGAGGGCATTCAGCTGAAATAACTGTCAGGAAGGAGACAGATTCTGTGTTCCAGAAATCAACATGTTTTGGTGGGAAATTAACATACAAAATTCAGGTTCTAGCTTTGGGACAATGGCGAGAAGCAATGTGAGATGTCATTTTCCACTGTGGAAAGGGCCCTGACCCAACATGGGCTATAAGTCCACTCTCAGAGGAAAGAGGTTGAACAGAAGTCTGTAAGAGTTGTAGTCTTCTTCCCTCAGTAAACGCCTCCTCACTGAAGAGAAGTGTGTCAGCATAAGCTGATCTGATTAGGTTAATTAAATTTCCATTTAAAAATAATTAATCCAAAGGGATTATATCAAAGAAAATCTTTCTGAATTAGTTTAAAGGGTTGTCATGGATTAAATTACAACTGTGGGCATCCAGGGTCGTCTGTACAGGTATGTATTGTGGTAGATCTGAAGAAGCCTCTGATTAAAGAAATATTGTTTATGTTTCATGTTTATGAAGAAGATGCTCAGGGTTTTACAGTATCTACTTTGTTCAGTTAGGCATCTCTGTTTGCACAATCAGCTCTAAGAGTCCAGAGCAGAACAAGACTTATTGTTAGGCTTTTAATGAAATGGCTCTGAGATTACTACACACAAAAGGAGAGCAAAACTAAGTTATAGAAAATATGCAATATATGTTTCTGTATTAGAAAATAAAATCAAACTTGAAGCTAACAATTCAGTATTTGGGATGACATTTAATGGTGATCTGAATTGCAATATCTATTGTTGACAAATATTTGCATCCAGATGCCAATTTGGTCTGAAAGCCAGAAAGGGAGGCAGCAATATGATCCAGCAGCCATGTGTCAGTGAAAAGTCCAACAGTTAATTCCTAACACTTTGCCTGAGTTCTTGTCAGTGCTTTAAGATTTTTTCAATCTTAAAGCAACAGATTCTCACGCTCCTTATTCTGACTGATTAGAGATATGACTGGAACTTCCTCTTTCCCTCTCAATCATGCAGCTTTTTATCTTCTATAGCTTGAAGGGAATTAGGGATCTGAGATGTTGGTCAGCTGCTGCAGCCTCTAAAACTTGTCTGGCTTTTATGATTATGCTTTGTAACAAGTAATCAGAAAACTATCATTAAAAGCTGCAGAGCATTAAAATGTCTTTTCAAAAGGTTTTAAATCCATAGCAGGACTTAAGATCCACAGTTCATAAGTACCTTGTAAGAGAGAGGCAAGCAGACCTATTCTAGACCACTGATTAGAAAAGCTTTGGAGTTTTCGGCTGATCAAGGTCAATATGAAGTAAATTCAGATTTTTTTTCTAGTCGTTCTAAGTATGTATCAACTTCCACAGATAAAGCTGTTTTTCTTCCTGTGGCACTTGTTTTAATCATTCTTTCTTTCCCCCTACTGGCCTGGCCCTCCCTCCAGCCTTCCCCACCATGGTGGACAACCACGTCAGCCACAACTACATGGGGGCAATGGAGCCAAAACCAGTGTACCCGCCACCCCAGGTGACCCCGTCAAGGTACTCGCCCGTACCCCGCCACATGCTTGGGGAGGAAGACTTCACGAGGTAAGTTACAGAGCAGGCCGACCATGGCTGACCCTGTTTTTCTAATGCTGTCACAAAGCATAATTCTGATTAAATCATAACTGTGTTTGCCTGGCTGTGGAGCAAACCTGTTTCATGTCTTTAGGGAGTATTTGTATTTTGTTTGGATTAATTTCAGTTTGCCAGTGGCCTCCATTTTGTTTTTTCTCTACATGTATCATCATGGGAATTTTGATGATACATGATGGAACAGTAGTTTAACTTGACTGTTGAAAAAGAAATAAAGGCTTAATTTCCAAATGTCAGCTGATTGGGGCCGTGGCGGTGCATACTACATCATAGCTGGACAGCGTGCGGTGGCTGTGTGCTGAGAGAAGCTCCTTGTCACTTCTCATACTTGTTATGACTGTGTTTTAACCTTTGACTTCATATCCGACTAGTGGATCAGAAGTAGCATTCATGAGGCCCTGATTGGACTGTCCCACAAGGCTTTGAGTCAGCTTAACCCAGAGCTGTGGGGAGGGAAGGCTGTATTCCCCCTGTGTTTATTGGTGTGTGTGTGTTTTCCTGTGTGAATGCTTGTTATGTTGCCCTGTTATGTCCTTGTACAATCTGTCCACATGAGCTGTATGAGTATTGTCACATCTTTGTTGGTATGTGTGCTTTTTTTTGTGTCCCACACCTGTCCCGTTCACTGTGATTCCTGTACCCCACAGCAGGGCTGAACCTATTTACAGTGTCATCCACAAACCTGGGGATAGCAAGGCGCCCCAGGCCCACTACAGAGGCTTCTGTCCTTCCCCTGCTCCCCTGTGCCAAGGTCCACTCCCCTTCTCCGGCAGGTACTAACCTAGTCCATGATGCCTTGCTTAGCTAACCCTCCTCTCTGTACCTCAGCATCTGGATCTGGCCTAAGACAGAGTAGAACCAGGACAGAGCAAAGCTTCCTAAACAGCAGTAAATACTGCCACAGCTGTGTAATAAAACACACAATGATAAATAGACAGACACTGAGGATAAGAGAGACAAAAATATGTGAATGAGAGGGGAGGGTTGGAAGGGGTCGCAGGGTGATCTTTGTGATTTCCTGTTTTAGTTTTCTTTCTGTTTGCATGTGAATGTTTCCCCATGTGTATGCGACCGCTTCATGTTGGTGCAAAGTGTGGTACCTTGGAGTCCAGTCAGCAGCTTTCATAAACGCGACAGAGATTTCGATAACTCTGGTCCTCTGGGATGTCATGGAGTGGATGTTTTAATTAGTTTGATATATGAACTCCCACCTGTTGTTTTGTTTGTTTTTTGCCCCTTGATCAAATGTTTTTGAGACAGTCGGCGAGCTTCTGGAGCAGTTCTTGTTTGATAAATAGCTAAAAAGAAAATAAAACAGAGTTTTGATCAAACTTCGTAAGGTCAGATAAGGATCATGCTTTGACCAGCGTCTCTTGTCCTCTTCTGTATTCTGGTTTGACTTTTTCACTTAATTTTCCCCTCTTCTGGTTTTTCTTTGGTTATCTTGGATGTCCCTATGTCTGGTCTCAATGCGACTGAAACTTTTAATCCATACACAGCTTCATCTTTTACTCAGACACCTGCAGCTTTTTGATCAGATTGTATTTAATTTTGACCTGATTAGAATTAGGAGTTGTACATTTTGTTTTCTTCCAATTCAGTCTACATACATTTCCTAAATATATAACAAATAACCTTTAGAAATTTATGAACCTACAACCATTCCTACAGACAGACCTGATGTAACCAAGTCAGGTATAAAGGTCGCCATAATCACACAGATCTTTTCTGCTCTACCAACGAACATTTCTTCAACTGAGATCAGGGCTTTTTCAGTATCTACTTGAAAAGACCTGTAACTGCCCTTATTTTGCTTCTACTAAACATAGAAAACACATATATATGACTCTACACTAGGAGCAAAGTGAGAAAAGAGAATTGGTTTTACATCGGGCTTCTTCTTTCAGTCTGCGCCAACGAACAAACTTCTTTCCATGATCAACTCTTGCTGTCCTCGTGCAGGATCCCTTTCACGTTTTCTCTTTGTAGCCTCCTCAGAAGGTTTAAAGTTTTTCTTTGCCTCAGCCATGACCAGTATTCGAGCAGGTGGAAAAATAATAGAGCAAAAGCTTTAGCTCCATGACTATATAAGAGACTGCAGCCATTAAGCGATATGTTCTTCCAGGTCACATGACCTGGCCAATGATGGTGCGTAATCTCCGTACTTACTAGGGGTGGAACGGTTCACAAAATCCACGGTTCGGTTCGATTCACGGTTTCGTGGTCACGGTTTTCGGTTCGGTTCGATTCGGTATATGTTGATTGTTACACCGAAATCCAATAAAAATGTATGAAATTAATGAAAAAATCCCCCAAAAATTATGAATTGTAATTATTTTAAATGATCCGCGGAAACCCTGGATCATTTCCGCATGTTTTGCTGCTTTGAATTTAATCATCTTGCGCATGCTCTCTACCATCTCCAAGGGACTCAGAGGGGAGTGGACGGGAGCCACAGTGGGGGCTGTAGGCTTTGCTTTGAGCAGCCGGTCTGGAGCGCAGCGGGGCGGAGCGGGGGTTGCTGATGGAGTATGAGGGATTTCAGGGTTAGCATGACATGTTGGTCATGTTGCTGTTAGCATAAACAAAACGTGTTGCAGAATGCTTGCACACTGTTGCACTTTTATCCACAACTTTNAAGTGAGAAAAGAGAATTGGTTTTACATCGGGCTTCTTCTTTCAGTCTGCGCCAACGAACAAACTTCTTTCCATGATCAACTCTTGTTTTTCCTCGTGCAGGATCCCTTTCACGTCCTCAGAAGGTTTAAAGTTTTCCTTTGCCTCAGCCATGACCATTATCCGAGCAGGTGGAAAAATAATAGAGCAAAAGCCTTAGCTCCATGACGATATAAGAGACTGCAGCCATTAAGCGATATGTTCTTCCAGGTCACATGACCTGGCCAATGATGGTGCGTAATCTCCGTACTTACATAGTCGGTATTTCAAGAGGGGAGCCTCGCTCGTATCATTCATAGTGTCAAGCGCTGTGTATTGGCCTGAGGAATCATTTAAAATAACTCATATGTGTAAGCTCTTTAGGTCACAAAGTCCGTAGTGTGCCTTTGTTTATTTGTTTATTTATTATTAGGATCCCCATTAGCTGTGCTTTACACCTAACTACTCTTCCTGGGGTCCACATCATTAAAATACAGTATACAATGTAAATTCACAAACATGTTTGACGGATGACAAATATCATATACATATCAATAAGACTGAACATTCATAGAAAAGGGGAAAGTTACAATTTAAAATTGAAAATTTTAACATTTTATGAATAAGTTACAATAAATTAGAAGATGAAACTATTTCATTTATATTTTAAGTTGCTTCTAAAAACTTCTTAAGTTGCATTTTAAAAGCAGACCTATGTCAAATTTTTATGAGAATTAATGGAAATGAGTTCCATTCTTTCATTGCTCTGTAAGTAAAGGTGCATTTGAGAAAATTAGTTTTCGCCCTAGAAATTACAAATTATCCTTCAGCTGCATGTCTCGTGGCATAACCACGAGAGTCCAAATTATTTTTAAATTGAACAAAGAGAAACAGTGGACTCTGGAGTTTTAAGATTTTCCACGTTGAGAATAATAGCAAAGCTAGTGCCCTGTCATGAACCTTTAGCCAGCTTAGATTTGAATGCATGGTATTTATACTGTTCCTGTAAGAACAATTTAATGCTACACGGGCAGCTTTATTCTGCATTATTTGAAGTTTCTCTAAATCTTTTCTTTTTGCATTTGACCATATTGTTTGACAGTAGTCAAGTTGAGAAATTATTAATGTTCTATCTATAAGCTTAGTCAAATCAGCTGGCAAAAATTTGCTACATCTTCTCAATATAGCTAAAGCTCTGCACATGTTCTTTACAACAGCTTCATGTGTGTCTTGACCAAGACAGTTTATTATCCAAATAGACAACAAGAAGCTTAGCTTCTGTAACCCTTGCTCAATGAGTCTGTTATTTATTAACAAATTTAACTTTGGGTCATGTTTTCTTTAAAGCCACTCTGCAGCTCATTTACAATATGCTTGTCCTTTCAAATGAAGCTGTTGTTTCCAAGCTTTACTGACCTGTTTGATGTCCAGAGATATTGCTTTGATGCTCTTGTATGATTTTTGTGACATGCTCTAGACTATCCTGGATCAAAACACCCACAAAACATAATGCTGCCAGCCCCACTACTTTTTGAGGACCAGACTAGCAGAGCTCCACAGTTCTTCCTCCAATATCCTGCTCGTTCTATTTTTGCATTACGCAACACAAAGACGTTTTGTGTGTCAGGTGTTAGCCCACAGGTACGCCCACAGGCGTCCAATTAGGTTGTAATTTAATCTGAAGAGTACAGAGTCATGGCATACCTGTGCTTTCCCAAAGTCTTTAAAACAATTGTAATCTTCGTGTATGTAGATCGCTGAATTTTAAGAAATAAAAAAGTCTCTAAACAAATACTTTTTCTCATTAGAATAGAATAGAAAATTCCTTTATTGTCCCCAAAAGGGCAAATTCTGGTGTTTTTACAGCAGCAAAAAGATTATTGGAAAAACAAATCGTCACACAAATGTGGACCTTAGATAAGTGTATAAGAATAACATAATAGTGAAGTTAAAAAGTAAACTAATGAAATACTGTACTGTAAAGTGTTTTAACAATAAAATACTGTGCACCTGGATAATAAATATCCAATATACAGCTAGGAACATTTTTACAGTAGTGGATAATTGAAAATAGCAGCAACATCAGAGATGTGCAAAATGACAGCATCATGTTATTTAACTGAATAAGACAGAAACTGTGTAAAATCACCATGAATGTAACAAATCATTAAGGTTGCTGGGAACAGTGATGGTTAAAGAATCTTAGAGCTGCTGGGAGGAAGGATCTGTGATAACGCTCCCTGGTGCATTTAGGGTGCAGCAGTCTGTCACTGAAGGAGAGCTCCAGTTCTGCAACA